ATTTTGAAGAAGTGAGTATTCTCTCATAAGTTCTTCCAAGAGCATTTGGTGTTGTGTGAAGCATTTGAGGCATCACACTTGGGGTGCTAGGCTCACAAGGTTTCAAGGAACACAAACAAGAACAAAGTAAGTTATTCTATCTATACTTTATGTTAAAATTGTTCCCCATGTATGCTAGATAGGAATATAACCTTGGAATTCAACTTTGCATGACAAATTAGACAAACATAGATCCAAGGTTATTAGGGTTGCATGTACACTTAGGAAGTGTTAGAATGCTCAAAACCCATCAAAATAAAAGGTGTTTTATTTATATTCATAAGTTCTGAGACCATATTGGATTCAATTATTATTGTGTTTCACTTTGCATGTTTTGACTTCCCAAATAAACTAGGTTATTCTTCCGGAATAACTAAGTTATTTAAACCATCCACAGTCGGTCATATGTTGGAAGTAGATATGAATTAAGACTATCATGGGTTAGCTTGTAGAGGTCTAAGGTGTTGGACAAATGGCTACAACACTCATGAGTGCTCATAAGTTCTGAGTATTGGATTCAACCCGCGCTCATTGGAATCACTTCATGGATTTTATCACGAGTGATCATGAGACGATAATACCTTATATTCTTCAAACCTAGAGATATGAGTTGTTACTATGAGTTGGTTGTACATTGATTGCACGAAACCGCATTTGGTAACTCGGTGCTATAAAACGTGTCTTTGTGTATGATTCAACAAGTAGTAGAACAAGCCATATGAGTCGAAGTTTATCCATTCCTTTTACCTTCGGGATAAAAGCGATATCTATGGGCCCCTCGATGATTTGATGATGACAAATGGAAGTGCTCGGCCGGGTCAGGACTGATTTGATTTGTTCAATTAGTGAGCCGTCATAAATCGGAAATCGGGAAACAACAAATGGACAGAGAGAATGATTATAATCCATGTCTCAGTCCATATGATATCTAGAATGGAGGAATATATGATCCCTTATCTAATGGACAATTCATTGACAAAGGTCAGAGTTCATCTACAAGGTCAGAGTTCGACAGAAGCTTTTGAGAGCTACGATTGCCAGTTGGTTCCTGAAGTCATACGCAATAATAGTTTTAGACTTATCCAAGTGGGAGACTGTTGGATTAATGTCTAAGTCCATAACTATAATTGGTAAGACTTGACCCGACCCGGCATGGTCCATTTGGGTTGCATGGCATCATGCACTTGGATAGACTATAATGAGAGAAATAAGACACTTACGATTATTAATATATTATAAGTTCTAGTATATTAATAATAAGAATAATAAGATTATTTAATTAGTATTGATCAAGAATTAATCTAGGATTAATTAAGTGATCAAAAGAAGACTAATTAAATATATGGGGTTGATTGTACAAATCATCCATACTCGTATAGTGGGCTAATGCTCCATGGATTATTTAGTTGGGCCAAAACCCATATAATGCTCCATGGATTCTCCATGGTGTATTTGAACCCATGGATCCAAGGAAATGGAAAGTCATGACAATTAGGGTTTACCTTAATTGTAACACTATATAAATATATATTATTCTTCCCAAAATCGGCCACTAGTATTATTCTAGAGAGGGCTAGCCGATTTTATGAAGTGTAGAATTCTCTTAAGTTATTCCAAGTGTATTTGGTGTTGTGTGAACCATTTGAGGTGTCACACTTGGGGCACTAGGCACTCAAGCTTCATGAAGACTTTCTACATGAAAAGGTATGTATTCTATCTTGTTATATCCATTATTTTGTATGGTAGATTAGGATAATACCTTGGATGTTCATATTTGCATGTATAATAGAGAAAACATAGATCCAAGGTATTTAGGGTTGCATGTACACTTAGGAGTGTTAGAATGCTCATAACCCAACACAGTATGTGGTGAACCTAAATGAAAGAAGTTGCACTTTTAGGTTCTGGAAAATTATAGGTTTTCCATGTAGGCATTCTGTTTCTGCTATATGGAAAAAAAATGAAAATGGAGAAGATGCCCTTGATGTTGAGGATTAGGTCCATCGTTGCTATAAGTTATCAACATGGAGAGCCATGTATGTGAACAAAATTGATCCAATAAATGGTCATTCAATGTGGCAAAAAAGTGACTTTCCACTCACTTTAACTCCACCAAAACATCACACACAGGCTGTTATGTCAATTAGGTTAAATTTGTACTTTGAATGCCAACATGTATGTTTATGTTTTAACTATAATATATGCATATGTGTAGGTTGGGAGGCCACAAAAAGAAGAGAATGGGAGGTGTTCATGAGCCTAACAGCCAAACAACTAAATTGAACAGGATATTTCTTGCAGTCACATGTTCAAAGTGTCATAACATGGGGCACAATTCCAGAACATGTAAAGGGCATGGAGGCATTGGTAAAGTTGGACCAAAGGGGAAGACACATGTGAAGGGGAAGAAACAGGGTAAAGGAAAGGGGGTTGGAAATTCTGTTAAGTAGTTACTTGGATGTTTGGATAATAGGTCTTTTGAAACTTAAATTATGGTTTGGTTGTTTAAATTATGGTAATTAGGTCTTCCATAATGTTTGTATGGGTTAAAACCTTCCATCAGTTAGTATGTTGAAACTAAGTGTCATGTTTAAACTTTGGTATGTAATGGTTTTATCAACCATTTGCTTATGAATTACAATCTCCAAACCTTTCTAAAAAAGATGCACGTATAACAATGTACATTTGAAATACAATTCCCAACCATTTGCAAGATGTAGTTGTAACAATGTATTTACGAAAATGCACATCAAAACTACTGATTTATAACAAAGTACATTACATTAAACTTTTATTGACTTAATGTGTAATACTTCATACACAAAATGAAACCAAAAATCCTCATTCAATCACAATCTAAAACCCCTTAAACTAGTTAGATGCTTACAAAAGAAACCAAAAAAACCCCATCCTGTTACCATTCAAATCCTTCAACCACCTTACTAGTTAAAATAAAACCAAAAAAAAACATCCATGAACAGAACATCAGTTGGTAGTTCTATAGTTCTGCACTTGTAATCACAACCCTCTCTTCCAATCGATTCATTCATCTTATCAAACTTGGAAGCACCAGCAATACCATAGCACACATCAGAGGGTCAACCCACATTACAAACCTACATCTTGAAAAGTTCAAAAATTTCCTTCCGGGATTATGATCCGTCCATGAGGTCACCTTCGTTGTTTCGATTCTACATCTACAAATTGCCAACTTCGACACTTAAAGAAGAGTTTTGCAATTGGATGCACTGTAGAGTGAGAGTAGATGAGGGTGGGTGCGACAAGGGTTTTCAAAATGATCAGACATGCATTCGGTTATAAAGAAGAGGGCACACGTGAAAAGACCAATTTGCCCTTATATTATTTTAATAAAATAAGAGTTAACGGTGGGGTTCTAACGGTGTGAGGGATAAGGACCAATTGTCAAAAGTTTGAAAGCACAGGTACTATCTATGATGTTTCTAAACCACGAGGACTAAACTTCAGACCTTAGGAAACCACATGGACCATTTATGATGTTTTTTTATTTTTAAAAATAAAATGTGGTAATAGAAACAATGAAACTAGGATGCCACATAGATAAATTTATGTTACTACTTTATATACATTTAACGCTCAATAAAATGAAATAGTATTTCAAATTTACATCAAACTCATGTTTTGAGGTCGACCATACATAGCCATCTTTGTGATTAGTGGTCATCCTCTTGCTCTCATAAAATCCTTCTTAAAGTACACATATTTGTGTATTTTTCTGTTTCTATCAAATGCATTCATGTATATATTTTAATATGTATTCTTTTTTTCTTATGACTTTTTTTCTCTAATTGCTTACTTCATTACAATTTTGTATACTTTTTTCTATGTCCTTTCGTTGATGCAGTTAGTTGTTTCCCCAACCCCGTTATAAGTATCTTGTTAGAATTGTTTTTAAAAAGTTATTCTTAAAACAAAAGGGGGAATATTACAACTTTACAAGGCGTTATTTGCTTTGGATTCAATCTAAGAATGGAATTAGGATGACTTTAATATCAAAGTTGAGATTTCTTGATAAATGGCAAGTTCCTTACGTGTAACCTAACATATTCTTATTCATTCCTTTATAAGGACCCGTTTATATCACGTCTTTATTGCCCAAACATTAGTCCCTTTCCAACTTTTATATCCACTGTGTTGCTTTAAGGTACAAGTTTCATCTCAATACAACATGTAAGGCTTTTTGTATTTCATTTCAAGTTTTTATTATACATGTGGAAATTAAAAAAAAACATGAAGAAGTAGGATTTAATAATGTTATGATAAAAAAAAAATTAAAACATAAGTTGGATGTCAAACCAGTGTTTGATTCAAAGCTGAAATTAAGATAGCTTTTTCTTGTGAATATGTTTTGACATGGTTGCTTGAGAATCATGAATCACAATATTAACACGTTCGTATATATTAAGGTAGCCTTGAGAATATATATATATATATATATATATATATATATATATATATATATATATATATATATATATATATATATGCTTTTGCAATTCTATCATTGTTCTTTAGAACGGCGTTGTAATATTTAGCTGTGTATTTTAAGAAAGTTCACAAAGATTGAGTTGAAATCACCAAGTAAAAGGATATATATTTTGAGTGTGTATCATGTATCCATGATATCTGATAAGAAAGTGGAAATTGATAGTCAGGATGCCTTTGATCATGAAATCTTGTTTGGAAAAACCAAGGTAATTAAGATGAGCATTTTTCTACATGATTTATATATCGTATTCAAATTTATTTGGATGTTGAAACCATGATAACTGCACTTAATGTGTAAGTTGATAAAGTTAAGAGTATAAGATATGTCTACACATTTTTGACCCATGATTATTTTATATTCTAATGATGGCATAAAGATTCATGTTTCTAGCTGCATCTATTTGTGTAGCTAGACATTTTGATTGATATCTGCAATGGAGCAACTTGTGCACTTTAGTCATGATCATCCACTCAAACTTGTCCAACTACAGCCATACCACAATGAAGAGGAAGGGGAAGAGGAAGAGGAAGAGGAAGATGTAGATGAGTTTGTGGTTGAAGACCACCATGTTGGCCAATGCAACATGTGTAAGGAAGACATCTATTCATTTCATTTGTGTTACTACACCTGCAAGAATTGCAACTACTCTTTACACAAATTTTGTGCAGAAATCCCCATAACCCTACAAGACCACCCATTACATGATCCTAACCACAATATTACCTTGTCCGAGAGATTTCAAGATCGACATCCTTTTTTTCATTCTAATCAAGAATGGACATGTGGTGTTTGCAATCATAAGCGGAAGAACTTTTTCAATTACCATTGTTCCAGTTGCAAATTCAACATGGACATAATTTGTGCTACCATGTCTCAACAGAAGATAGACCACCCAAGCCACCATCACCAACTGCAACGTAACCCAAAGAAATTGGTATCTATTTGCAATGCATGTGGTTGTGAACATGAAGGGATTTTCTACCACTGCACCATTTGTTATTGGTTTTGGATCCATCAGGATTGTGCTTTCTCTCCTACCAAATTACTTATCCAACAACCTACTAATCATTCTCATCCACTTACCCTTACATATTCCTTTCCCAACATTGATCAAGAAGCTAAGTTCTATCCCAAATGTAGAATATGTGATACGGGATTCTATTTTTACTTTTGGATTTACAAGTGTGATAAATGTCGATACTATGTCCATATTCATTGTGCATCTTCAAAGTACATCCATTTTTTGCGTCCAGGTAACATATATATATATATATATATATATATATATATATATATATATATATATATATATATATATATATATATATATATATATATATATATATATATATATATATATATATATATATATATGGAAAAGTGAATATCCCTTAAGGGTATATAAGCTTACGTACCCAAACTCACCATACTACATCGTTTTGTGTCATATATACATTCTAATTGTCCAATGTTCTTATTATTCAACTTCTAACTTGATTTACTTCCAATATTTTTATAAATTTCAAATTTATCTTCCTCTTACGTAATCTTCATTTTCAACTATAATATATATAGCTTAGTATGTGTTCGGCATAAAATGTGATGTAAGAAGATCATAGTGAAATTCCGAAATTTTTTGAAAGTAAATCAAGTTACAGGTTAAATTTTAAGAACATTATAATCAATATATCAAACAAAACGACGTATTATGGTGATTTTGAGTACGTAAGCTTATATATCATTAAGAGTATATTCCCTTTTCCCATATAATTTTCATTTTCTCAAGATTTGTTGGTCTCAGATAATTTTTGAATATGTTGCTTATCAGGACGTGGAAAGATTTGTAAAAATTTCAAAGATGAGGATCATTCTAATCTTCTCTATTGTCCATTTCCTGATGAAAGTTACAACCTTCTCAAGCACCATTTTATCAATAATCAGAAGGACTTTGTAGTACCTCAGGGAAACCATGGTGAAACGCTCAAACGTCTTAGTGATGAACACCCATTGATACTTTTAGACTCGCAAACATCACTCGAGAAGTATTCGGTTTTACTTCACAACCCGTTGAAAAAAATTAAACTATTATGTGATGGATGTGTGAAGCCAATCACAAAAATACCATTTTACAAGTGTGTTGGACATTGTGGGTTTGTTCTTCATGAGTGGTGTGCTAGGCTACCCCGTGAAATAAAAGACCACCCTGGCCATCCATACCATACACTTTTTCTCATGCTAAACATTAATGAACTCCTTTCAGGTGTTTTTGGGTGTAAGATTTGCATGTTACCTTCCAGTGGTTTCGGGTATGGATGTAGGATTTGTGAGTATTATGTAGATGTCAATTGTGCATTCCTACCTATAGAAATCATGCATGAAGCTCACCCTGACCATCTTCTCTCAAGAATAGATGCTTCATCGATTTCCAGTCTATCGGAAACACCATGCGATGCATGTGGTAATTGCCTAATAAATTGCATCGCATTCTTTTGCCCTTCTTGCGATTTCTACTTGGATACAGAGTGTGCTTTTATGTTGCCTGGATTGATTAGGCACAAGTACGATAAGCATCCATTGACCCTAAGATACAATCCAGTCGAGAACCATCCTAGTGCCTACTTTTGTGAAATTTGCGAGGACGAATTTAATCCTGAATATTGGTTCTATCATTGTAGTTTTTGTGTCCAGTCTATGCATACTGCCTGTGCACCCGTGATCTTTCAGTGTGAGCAAGCTGTATATGCCTACTATAAGAGATCTATCTTCCATTTTCTCAATGTCAAGTTTGAAACAACAAGGCTTATGGTTGGAGGTGTGCACCCACATCTTCTAAAATTGGCTCAAGGGATGGAGTGTCATGGTCAATGCGATGAATGTGGAGAAAACTTGCAGTACAGGATGATCTTTGAGTGCTTGGAATGCAAGTTTAAACTTCATTATGAGTGTCATATTGTAGTTCGCCTTTTAGAAAAAGCTAGAGGTATTTCATTTTTTGCTAGAAAGATACAAACAACAAGTCGCCAAATAAAAAAGCATACATATAGTGCTCTCCCTTGATGTAATTAATACTCCTTGTTTCTTCCTAGCTTCTTGCTAGTTTTTTTTAATTTTTTTTCTTGTAATCAAAGTCTTCGTATTAAAAAAAAAAGGTTTGGTTTGAGCTTGGTGTAGATATACACTATAATTTTGTTATTTGTTTCGTCAATCATTTTTAACTAGTTTGAATTTAGGTAATTTTATGTGTTGGTGTGAATCATATTGTGAAGGATTTTATATGATCTTGTAACCTCATTAAAGGGTGTCGTGCTTCATGATGGGATCGTCAACATGAATAAATATATATGAAATGTCCTTTTGCAGAACAGGAGATGAAAATCTATAATATACAAAACTTATGACTAAAAAGTGATACAACAGTTCGCATTGACGAAAATAAACCCTACAAATACATTCCAACTAATGAACTCAAAGATCAATTATCAACCCAAGAGTTCCAGAAATCAAAGCTCAAACACCAAGTTAACGCTTCCAATTTTATTTTATTTTATTTTTCAAAATCAAAGCTCTAACTTCATCTCATTTGTTATCCGACTCAAAAAAAATTGATTCACGGATCCACGTTCCTCGATGTGTATAACACAAAGTCTAATTAGTGTATATGGATGATTTCTAGTAATATTGTTTTCATTCGTGTTGCTATAATATTATGATTGCATCCCAATCTGTTGATCTGATTGAAGTGAAGTTTTGTTTCGTTTTATTATGATGAAAACTGAGAACAATAAACTAATAGGTAATGTAAGATACTAAATCAAGTGATTACATATTGGAATACAAAATTGATGTTATATTATGGAAAATGCAATCTTAAACAGCCAATTAATAATGTACGAAAAAAGAACCTTTCACCAAAAGACTTTGCAATCAAGATTCTTGAAAGTTTTGTGTTAGATTAGGAAAATTGTAGCAATGTACATGACATAGTTTATGTGTTGTTTGTTTTTTGTCTATAGATCTTCTTGACCTATTCTGTTTGCACGACGTAGACCACACGCAGACATTAGCCGTCGCAAACTATTTGTTTTTTTGAAGACCGCAGACCTAAAAATGTATGCTCATGCTTTTCTTGGCGCAGATGTGGACCAGAGTCTTCTAACATCTTCAGACTTCGTCTAGCCTAAGAAACACATATCTTTGTTTTTTTAGTTATTTTGAATTTATATTTATTCTAACTTTATTAATGATAAACAATTTGAAAAAAAAATACAATATTTTTTAAAAAAAGTTCGACGACACAAACATGATATTTTTGACAAATTTATAAATAAAAATTTGTTACAATAATGGTCGTTGAAATTGTTTATATAAATATGAAAAAAAAAATCATAATATATTCTTATATTTTTTATGCCAAATTTTATAAAAACTTATTCAATACGGTATCGTCAATTTCTTAGAAAAATATTTATGATATGTTTTTAATTGATTTAATTGAAAAAATCGAAGTTATTTCTATCTATTTATGTATCAAATTCTTTGACTCCTAATTATAATGTATAGGTACAACTTTGCGACAAAAATTGTTGGTTTGTATGAAATATATACATTAATTTGTACCTTTTTATTTTCATTTTTTATACAATAATAAATAAAAGTTGATCTATATTTGTTAATTATTTATAACATCATAAAAATCTTAAAAAATCACTTTGTAGTTTAAAAAAAATAAATTTATTTACATTTTAGTTTATTTTAGTAGTATGCAGATGTTCAAAAAAACATTTTTTTTTCAGATTGCAGATGTTTGGACCACCTCTTTTGCTGCAGAGATCTACAGATGTGATCCGCAGACTGCAGACATTTTGCCTTAGAAAAAACAAACAACACCTTAGTGTCTGAAATAGCATGGAATGCAGCTTATCTTGTCACCATTGTTTTAAAGTTCAATAGTGATGAATGGGGATATAGGTGTGAAATTATTTGTAATTACGATCGTGCTTTAGTAAAAGACTTTGCAATGACAATTGGGTCTTTAAAATATAAAGAAGGCATTTGGTTCTTTCTTTTCCTCCTAAGTACTTAGATCATGTAAAAAATGACCCAACTTATTCCAACCTAAAATTAGAAGTTAGATTGAAATTTTCTACCCTTTTAATCCATTTGGTTAGGTTGAAATTCGAAATATGATTTTAATCCGTCAATCTGTTTATCTATTTTTCATAAATTAACTTTATATTTACATTACTATCAACTAGGAGGTGTTTCCTCACCCCACGAGGGACGGAGGTTGTTGATGGGTCCTTTTTATCGGATATTTCTTGGCTGCCTGATATGTCACACAAATTCTTTCACTTTGCAAATGTTGAGTCTTAAAGGTTGTGCCATTGGGCTTAACACTTAGATACATTTGTATTCTTGGTTTGGGCCTATCCAGCCGTGTTTTATTTTAGGGTTTAGTATATATATGGTGCATGCATGCACTATATTGAGAACGCTTTTGATAATTATTTTTTGGGGATTAAGTATTGTAACCCTAACGCACCTCTACAGTAGCAATTCTCATCGAATTCTTATGAGGTGGAGCATTTTAATCGTTCGACACTTGTTTGATTCATTGTTGTGTTCATCATTTTCTATTACTTGCGATAGTTTTATTGATATCTGTTTGAATCTATCGATCTAAGAATTCTTTATTCTCATCAATTGGTATCAGAGCAGGAGACTGTGTAATTTATATGCATATCTTCTATTAGAAGAATCTGTTTAGGGTTTCTGCTTTTATCCAATTTGTAGGGGTCGTCATCTTCCAATTGAGGTTGTTTCTTGCTTTTGATAAAACCCTAATTAAATCTTTACAAGTATGATTCTTTGCAGATATCTGTAAAAAGTCATCATGTCTCATGATGATTCATAAACAAATCCAATCAATATCTCCAATAGCATTGGATCTACAACCATGATTCAAATCCTTTATACTCAAGATTATGAAGTTTGGACGCATCACTTTGAAGACTATGTGGTTGGATCTAAAGACAACAGTTATCTAATCTGGGAGGCGATAACGTGGGGTCCTTTTGTTCATTCTGGAACAAATAGAACCATTAAAACTCAAACGGGGTACTATAAATTGTTTATTGATGTGGACAGGATTCCTCAAGATGAAAAGGATAAGTTGCTGTGTAATGTTAAAGCCATGAGAATGATCTGATTTGCTTTACAATCTGACACTTTTCGTTTGGTAAGCCCATGCACCATGGTGAAAGAGATCTGGGGTAGACTCAAAGAGTTGTATTCCACTGATGAGGATCTAGAACATTCTATCCAAACTCTATTTCTTTTTGAGTTCGGTGCTTTCCAACAAAAGGCCGATGAAAAACTGATACAGACATTCAATCGTTTCAACCATCTTTTGAGTAAGATGATCAAGCACGATAATGGAAGAGAAGTAATCGAACAGAAGGTCACATTTCTGAATGGTTTAAGACCCGAATGGATGGCTGTGGCATTAACTGTGAAGGCTCATGAGGAGTTTAAATCCTACTCATTGGTGAAGATGGTGGGTATTCTCAAGTCTCGTGAAAGTGTGGTAAGAAAGGAAACGAAAGTAGTGTCTAGTATGGGATGCTTGGCCCTTCTTTCTAAGGCGAAGAATGTGGTAGAAGATGAAGAAGAGTCAGAAATGTCAGAATGTGATCTGACAAGCGAAGAGTATGCAATGAGGGTTTCCAACCCTAAGCGGTTTGCTCGCAAAAAGTTCCCTGTTGCCAAGAACCAAAACTGGCAAGGAAGTTACAGCTCAGAAAAGGCGAAAGAGGAAATTAAAAACAATCCTCAGAAAGAAGAAGGGAAGAAAGAGAGTAAACTGGTTGGAGACTTCGGATATGACTGCAACTTCTGCCATGGCAAAAACCATTTTGCCAAAGATTGCATGTTAAGAAAGCTATCAAAAAAGAAAGAGGGAGAAGATGATGAAGCATATCATATACACAAGCTGGAGTAGATAAAGAAGAAGAAAGCCTCTAAAAATACTATGAATGTTTTAATTATGCAGGAGAACGTTGTGGATGATGAGTTTGGTGGCGTAGAGGTCTGGTCGACAGACTCTGAAGATGAAGAGGTACGTAAACCCACACATGGCAGGGCATTTGTGGCGAAAGAAGATAGTGCTGAGTTTGTTGGGAGATGCTTGATGGTGACTGCTGGGGCGTCACAAATGAGGGGATACACAAGCGAAGGCGAGTATGATACATCGAATCAAAAAGAAGATAAGTGCTTTGCTGCCAAACCTGTGAGTGAGAGGATCAGCGATTGTAATCAGTTGATCAAAAAGGTACAATCCATTCCCGAATTACTTAAAATAACTATAACAAACTATGAAAAGAAATTATACGAATTAAAATTCAAGTTTTATAGTTTAAGTGGAAGTCTAATGCAAACACGTCTCTCAAATGTTAACCAGACCGATCAAATTAGCAGGGTGACATCTAAGAGTGAGAAGCGAAGGATATGGATATAGAAGACGGAGTTAGAATTAGTTAGACCGAGAGATGAGTTGATATATTTGCAACATGGCAATTTGAAGTTTTTAAAACAAAGGAATATTTTTTATTTGATAGCTAAATGAATTTACAACAATATTACTCAGTTACATTTGAATTGTGATATTGGCAAAAAGGTTCACAAAATGATTTTGCCCTTTCTTGAATTAAAATGAGGATGAAGTAGACGTTGATTGCTATAATTGTGAATCCGTTGTATCATCAGATGAGGTTTCGAATGTTTACAAAATTGTTCTGGATAAAATTGAGTCCTTTATTAAGTCCAAAGACCATAAGGACATGCTTAGGAATTTATTGGACGAAAATGACAAATTGAAAATAAAGACCGAAACCATGAACAAATTTGACTCATTGAGTACCAAATTAAGTTCAGAAAATAAGATAAATGTGGAAAATTCTTCTGAATTTATTGAGGACAGTGATATGAGTGAAATTTCTGTAGAGGGTGAGGTTGAATGCTCTGAATTTCTCAAAAGCGAACCCGAACTGGCAAAGCCA